TCCTGGGACCAGAGGGGAAAACGCAGAACAGAATTGGAGTTATGAGCACGGGCTTTGAGTCCAAATCAGGCTAAAATCTCAAGTCTGCCCTGCACACAAGCTGGCTGACCCCATGTGACCACTTCTTAGTCTCGTTTTTTTTCATCTGGGAAATGGGGTCACTCGCAGTCAGACTGCACGACTGTTCGCACAGAGGCTGGGCAGACGGCATGCACCGTGACCAGTCGCCCTTTATCACGGCTGGGGTGTGCACTCATAGTGCTGGGGCAGGTTCACGTGGGGGTCAGGCCCCGCCACACAGAAGCCCCCCTCTTCCTGTCAGCCCTCTCTGACTTCCGCACTCCATCCCTCACCCGGCTCATCTTTCTTCCCAGACTGGTCTTCCTCTTCCCACCACTCCTGCTCCTTCTCGTGGACTCCAACAGCCTTCCCAGCAGCGCTGGGAGTCCCCCCGCACCAGGCCATCCTTCTTGTCCACTGTCAGTTCCACCAGCACTCCTGGGATGACACAAGGTGGGGGGAAAGCTGCTCCGTCAGTCAACCACCCCCTCCATTTCTCTCCACCCCACCCCCTAGACCCATCCTTCAAGCCTCCCTTGTTCCTTGAAAACACCTCGCCAGCCCTTAAACTCTAGTTTGGTCTACTGACATGTGCGCTCTGTCTGAGGCTTCTACTCAGAGCTGGGTGCTTTTCGGTCTGTGTCTCAAGGCACCCACTTCCTAGACCCTCGATCTCCAGGACTTTGTCCCCAGCTCTCACCGGGTCTCCGAAACCCAGTCCTATCCAAGAGCTCTGCAGAGAACCTGAACGCTGACCTTGACTGCCCCCTATGTATGGCTGCCTGCTGGTCAGTCTGGTGCATGTCCAGCCTCTGAGTCACCACCTTTCCCAGGCTTTCCAGCTCTTTCCCCTCTCAATGCTAATGGGAGAAATTACGGTCAGGATCTAGCTTGAAAAACACAGAAAAGCCCAGAGCGTGCCACTGAAACAGGTACTTTCCCAGGGAACACTGGAAATTAGACTAGGTGTGGTGATCGTCATGAAAACATACGCTTATTGATTAATTATGCAGGATCCTATCGAATACGTACTGGCACTGGTTTCAATCACTTGGTAAATGGTCTCTCGAAGCAAAACTGCATGGAACCAAAACTTTCCTGATTCCTTAGGGATTCATTCTCTGTTTTGTTCTTCTGCACCCACCCTGAGGAATTTCTACAAACTACTCTGAGAGCTTCAAGCTTGCAACAAAAATGCCTCCTGAGAAACAGTGAATTCAGAAAGGGGACTTACGGAGGGTTCACACAGCGATTCTCAGGCAAGCTGAGGCCCGCACTAGCTCTCCCTTCGGAGGGCCGGTTCTGTGTCTCTCTGAGACCGGTGACGGTTCTGTGTGCGGAACAGCATAGCCTCTCAACCTGGAGACCACAGACGTCTGGGGCCAGATCGTCTGTTGGGGGGTGGAGGGAGGGTTGTTCTGGGAATGTGGGTTGTTTAGCAGCATCTTTGGCCTCTACCCACTGATGGAAGTAGCTCCTTTGCCCTCATCGTGATGGTCTAAAATCTCTCCAAACATTGCCACATGTCCCTGGTATAGCAAAGTCTCCTGCAGTGGAGAACCACCCCCTACACGTGCACACACACACACACACACACACAACCTTCCTGGCACACCTGTCAGTCCAAGGTTAGTGTGGTGCCAACACCCCACGGCGGGGGCAGAGCTCTCCCAGGGCCATTGTCTATACCCTCTAATACCCGAGAGAGCTAAGCTAGGTTTCTCAGAAGGGAAGATGTGGGAAACCCCTGCCCACAGCGATGCGAGCCACAGATTTCAATTCGTGGATATTGGAAGACAGGGCGTCATGGAGGCACGTGTGACCGAGTGAGGTGCAAGGGCTGCGCATGCAACGTGGCTGTCTGCCACACTGGATCTTGCCAGGAGAGTCTCTCTTGTGGAGTGTCACAGACAGAGAACAGGCTGCCTGTGTCTGGAATCTAACTCCCTCCTGGAGGGCTTCAGCAGGGCTGGTGCACACAGATCCTCTGATCCCACGCAACTCATCCATGTCCTGATCCAGTCCCACGGACCATGACGGCAGGGCTCTGGGTCATCTCCACCAGCCACTCTGAAGGACTAGAGGGATTCAGTGCCACGGGCAGCATTGTCAAGTACAAATCTCAAATCTCATCCGTCACCTTTCAAGCAAGTATTTATTGAGCCTACCAGGCAGGTCCTTGCTACTTCAAGTCTTTGTTCAGCCTGGCAAGGTGGGGATCTCATGGGAGGTAGTTAGAGATGTTACCCCTGAACTTCAGAATCTGAGTCTGCCCTGTAACAAGTCCCCAGTCGACGCCTATGGACATTCCACGTGACAAGGAAAGGGAAAGACGCCTCTTCCTTCGTGAGATCATGTGATTCTTGGGAAGACAGGATTAATAGATACAAACGGAGCACAGTCCAAGTCTACATCAAGCATGTTTTTGCAGAAAACTTGGACACAGAAGGTCCACATCCTGCCTCCACCACTTACTTCTACAGAGCCTCAATTTCCTCATCTGTAAAATGGGGTAACACTCGCCTACTTGGCCTTTCGGCCTTGTCCTGAAGATCAAGGAAAAAGATAGGCAAGCACTGCACTGATCCACGGGGAGCAGCCCCTACTCTGGAAAGCCTGAGTGTTGCAGATGTGGGTTTTTTCAGATTTTAGAAAACTTCCCATGTAGAAATTCACACATATATTTATATATGACATTTTGGAGGTGGGACACAAATCTAAACACAAAATTCATTTATGTTTCATATACACCTTATGCATAGCCTGAAGGTCAATGTCATTAGTGTACCTGCATTTTGGCTGCAACCAGCCACACTAGGTAAGCTGTAGAGTTTTCCACAGATGGTGTTTTGTCAGTGCTCAGCTTTCAGCTTCTACATCATTTCGGATTTCAGACTGGGATACTTAACCCTTATACAGTACCACTCAGTGCGGGGTACTCTGAGTTCCAGAGAACTTCAGAGATGAGCGGGCTGGGATCACTGGAACCGTCTGGGAAGATCCAGCAGAGGGGGCAGAGGGGCTGCAAGTCTGCGCCATACACAAACCAGGCACTGGAGTGGACGGGAAAATGTGCATTTTGACCACTGCCTCGGTGCAGCCGCTAGCCAGGGCCACGGAGCTCCCACGGACAAACGTTCACCCCCGGATTCCTGATGGCCAGGGAAGGTCAGCGCAGCGGGTCTCAGAAACACATGTGATGTTCCCTGGGCGCTTTACCAGAGAAGCAAAGCCAGCAGATCTGGTCTCTGTGGCGGGACTCCTAAGAAGCTCAAGGGCTTCAGGAGTTTTAACTCTGGCAGGGGGTTCCGTCGTTTTGCAGAGCTGGCCTGAGAGGGTGGGCGTGGAGGGGTAGAGGACATCAGCAGGTTCGTTCCCACGAGCAAGTACGTTTCCTGGATAATGTGCACAAGGATTTGCTGTGCACTGGATGGATGCTTTCCTACTTCTCTCCCCTACCTACCCCCCACCTAATCCCAGCTACCTCTGTCAGGCAGGGCTCTTGTCCCCACCTCACAGATAAGGACGCTGGGAACTTCTGGATTGGAACCCGCTTGGTCTGCTTCCCAAAGCCCATGACCTTAACCTCAAGCTGCAGCGCCAGCAGAGCCTGAGAATCTCTGGTCTTGCTCGCGCCGCTGAAACAATGTGGCTGCGCTGTTGTTGTGAAACCTGGCGCTCTCCGGCTCACTGACGTTGCCCATGCTTGTCCTGAGCTTCTCCAGAGAAATCTGTCTTCTGGCAGGAAAAGATAAAAACGGCTGATATAAATGAGTCACCGCGCTTGCTATAATTAACAGTGATGCAAGAGCCAGAAGCAAGATGCCAGGGGCCTCCAGACCTGGCTTGTGAGGCTGCTCGAACTTTGAGCTGCACTACGGTGCGGAAGATAGCAGGCGTGTCCAAACTTCCGTCTGCTCGGGACACATTTTAACTGAAGACATGAAACCCAGAATGCGTGCAAGCCCCCAGATACTGGAGACGAGAAGGCAGCACCAAATTAATCTCCTTATTTACAAGTGAAAAACCATACACCAGAAAGGGAGCTTACAGTATACAGATAATACAGATCTTAGCTTTCAAACCCAGCTTCCCTGAAAAGTCTAAGCAGTCTTCCACCTGCCAAGCTGACTTATAAGTACAAGTACTTATAGTACAGTTGTCAGTTCAGTTGTGCTAGGTGTTCAGCCTTTGCCCTCCTGATCCCAAAGATGCATCTGTGAATTTTTCAAAATCACCAGCTATCATTAGCAGCTCTCTATGCTTTTCTGTTGAGCTGGAATAAGAAGCATTGTAAAAATAACCTGATTCCCATCAACCCTGGGGCCGGGTGTTCGGCCCAGCAGTCAGGTCAGCAATTAAGACAACAGCATCCAGGGGTGGGCGTTGGGCGCCGCGCTGACACTGCCTGGGACACCTGCATCCCACATCGCCGTGCCTGGGCTTGAGTCCTAGCTCCACTCCTGATTCCAGCTGCCTGCTAACGCGTATCCTGGGAGGCAGCAAATGACTGTTCAAGCGTTTGGGTCCCTGCCACCCATAGGAAAGATCCCGACTGATCCCCAGGCTCCTGGCTTTGGCCTAGCTGTTGCAGGCTTTTGCAGAGTGAACCAGTAGATGGGAGAAGGGAACTCCTATTTTTCTCTACTTCTATCTGTTTGCCTCTTACATAAACAAATAATTTTTAAAAAATAATAAACCCCTAAACACAATCCCACTGCACCACAAGCATAGTCACCATGATCCAAGGTGAAGGCAGAACTTCGAGCTGCCTCTAGAACAGGTAATTCTCTCTTGAGGTTCAACAGAGAGAAATAAATTGTGGCCGTGACCTGGATAGGCTCACTCATGGCCACCAGTGTGGCTGGGTCTTCTTACCTGTCTCAGGCTCAACCAGCCTCGCGATTTGAACACAACACAGCTGCGCAGAATCACGCCACTTTCCTTTTGAACAGACTTTAATTGAGAGCAAAGTGAAAATGCAGGTTACATTTTTAGTATTATCATCAATATATTGTAAGATCAACACCCAAACAGTGATGCATCTAGGAATTATACATTTCCTAATTTTAGTTGTCAAAGAGCAAATCATTATCAGATATACACATTTACACAATAATTTCAAGCAACAGTAAATAATAAACTCCCTCCCTTAAACACACACACACACACACACACACACCACCTTAAAACAACAGATTTCCTCACACTCATCAGTCTCCTCTTTTTTCACATATTCTTATAGATCCAAGGTGATTTAAGTTACTTAACAGTCTTATCAGCAGAGACTCTGAACTTGAATTTTTACAACTTGAAACCACATAATCAGCGTGCTTGGCACACCTGAAGGACATTCTGGATAATGCAAATGAACTCTACTTCCTGTGTGTGAGCAGACAGGTTAACATCTCCAACGATGCATCTGATTACAACTCAAGAATTAAGTCAAAAACACAAAACCAAAATCTCACACCTTCAAACATAGGTTTCGTAAGAGCACTGTGCTAATGTTAACAATGAAGTCACTGAACGGGAAGATCCTTCTAGATTTCTGTACAGAGGTACTGGTTAGTTCTGAGTCTCTTTTCAACTGTTTGGAACAAGAGAGTTTTCAAAGTTGCCTGGTAGAACTACATCCTGCCTTCCAGGTTAGCCGCCTGCCTGACCTCCAGAATGTTGGGCTGAGACTCACCCCCGATGCCTCGCTCTCTGATTTATTTCTTGCTGTTGCTGTTAGTAAATGGAAACCATGACAAAGTTTACATTAGCAGACACAGACGCATGCCCGGGCCTATAAATATTCCACGATGGAAAATGGTACAATAACTCCATTCCTAGGGAACACCGGAGTAAAAGGGGAAGGGGAGCGTGGGGGTGACGTGATCAACAGTGGCTCTTCTTATAGTGGAAAATCCAGACCACATGGCGACGGACTTTTAACTACCAGACACTGTTAGCTGCCTCTCCAGGGCCTGTGAGTCAACTAAAAGTTGGCAGAGCAGAGACCAGCTCCTCCGGCAAACCTGGTAGGATCCAGTCGTGCAGGTATCTCGTCTTGGAAGCTGGACGAAGGAGACCGACTGCCACTTCCTTCACGGAGCGGTGAGGCGAGGAGGAGTCTGGACGCAGTCCGCACGGTGTGTCCTGCCTGGGCGCCACCTGTGCCCGGGCTGGGGCCCTCAGAGCGCCAGCTGCAGCTTGGTCATGTTCCTCTGGTGCATGTTGTGATGGCGGACTAATTCATCTGAGCGGGCAAACTTTTTCTGACAACTGGGCCACCGGCAGCTGAAGGGCTTTTCACCTGTTGACACAATTGCCAGTCAGACACCTGCAGCACACAGACGGGCTGCAAGTTCAACTACCAAAGGCCCAAGTTTAATCATCACAAGCCACCCACACCCGACTCCCTGGAATTCTTTCTCTCCACTAACCAACTGGGCTCCTTCCACAGGCAGCCTGTACTGGCACCACCTCCAGGGGCCTTAAGGATGGAAGTATGGTAAAAATTCTATGGTACGCTTAGGTCAGAAAACCTGGGAAACGGGAGAGGAGGAGAGTTCTTTTCAACGAAATGCCTGGGCAAGTCATATTTAATTATGGAGGAGAGGGATTTCTCTTTCTTTTACTAGGATAGTTTGTGAACTGGGTAATTCTCTTGCCTTAAGTAGGGGATTGAGCTTAACTAGGCGACTGTGACCTTGGGATCGCCCCTCAGTGACAGACAACACTGAGCGCTGTCCAGCAGTGGAGCTCTGCCTGTGGCTTTATCGTCTCTGGCTGTACTGATATTCTGGATGGGCGGGTATTTCTAAATAATATCATTGAGAGGAGTTTGCATGTTATTTGTGACTTTTACCTTAAAGCGCTACTTAGAGCATACTCCCTATGATATGGAAGATTGGAGCTGAGGTTCTGAGATGGCTAAACAAGTTTGCCAAAAGATGGAGGCTTCTCCATCAAAGGGGCTTCCACAAGGCCCTTCCAAGGCTCATTCTCATTAGTGGTAATAAGTAGCATTTACTCGGTGTTTAATATATGCCGAGCCTCACACATACACACACACACACACACCATCATCATCCTCATCCTCCTCGTCCTCATCTTCATCTCCTGCCCTGCTTAGAACATCCCTGCAAGGGAAGCTTTAGTATCCCACGTTACAGATGAGGCTAGAGTGCAATGAGGGCAGACCCAGGCTACACTCGAATCCAGGTTTCTCTCGCTGAAAGTTGCTGTTTCCTGTGTCACATCTCCCAGACCTCCCCGTAACAAAAACAGCGGCAGCCTTGAAGAACAATGCTGCGGAGCCCACCCCCATGCTACCCGGAGCATCTTTCAGGACACTGCCCGCGCCTCTTGGCTCTCCCTGGGAACCACTAGCTGGGACAAGCACTGAGAAATGTCTCAGGAGAGGCAGCGTCCCAGGGTCAGACTGGGGGCTGAGCAATAGTGTCAACAGTCTGCCAGTGACACAGGCCACTTCACCCGAACCCACAGCAAGTGGGAAGGGATGGAAGGCAGGGCAACTCATCTCCACCAAAAGGGGAGCTCAGGAGGGAATCAAACAAGTTAACATCAAAGCACCCAGGGCCCAGGTGCCCCAACTCTGTCTGTATGGATGGCTTGTGTGGGCCGAAAAGCTGGGACTTTCAGTGTCTTGATTTTCTTCACCTCTCACTCACTGCTCCTTGCTCTTTCTCATCTGTCTCCTGTCTCCCACCCCCACCTCCAGCCAGGTGTCAAAGACAAGCTCTTCATGGCCAAACTGCAACTCTCTCTTGTTGGTCTCTCCACTCTCCTTGGGTTGCCAGTGGCATTCAACGTGGCTGATTTGGCTCTGGTCTTGATCCTCCACCCTCCCCGGGACACTGAAAGAACTCTCTTTCTTTGCTCTCTCCCAGCAAAGAAGGCAGTGGGATAAGGTGGGCTGGGAGTTGACAGATGGGGTTTCCTACTGACCAGCTTTGTGACTTTGAACAAGCTGTTGAATGCCTGTCTTCTCATCTGCAAAGAGGAGATAAAACATGCCCACTCTTCTTACGATGAGATAACCTAAGCATTGGTCCTCTCTCCAAAGGCAGGAGACATGCCACAAAGGCGGGGCTTTCTCTTATGAATCACACCCTTTTGGAGAAGCAAAATCCTTCAGTAGTCAGTGACTTCAGCAACATTCTGCTCCCTGCTGTATACTAGCTCCAAGGAAACAATACCCCAGTGTGGCTTAGTTGTCTAGCAGAAATCTTGACTGCTCCTGGGGCATTCACGTGATCTCAAGGACTTTGCTCTCAAAATAGTGTCATGCAATGTGGGAGCTCTCAGGAGCATAAGTGTTTGGCTTGCTAGCATTTCTGCTGTTTTTTCTATAACTCTGCTTATCAGAATCAAACAGAGGAGAAAAATAGGATACAACAAGTGGGGGACAGTAAGGGCCTAGCTTATCTCTTCCTTTTCATTCTCGACACCCTGGGCATTGTTTTCACACCACTCTCCTGCTCTGTAATACCTCCTCCCCTTCTTTAAAAAAGGCTATTATTTATCATTTAAAGATAGCTACGCACTGTCCTTTCTCTCAACTGGATCTACATCTTAGAACATTTATGCTGGTCCTTTCCAATCTCTCTCTTCACAAACAACTTCACCCAACAGTAGTTTTAAGAAAATAATGAAAAAATAAATGTGAAGAAAAGTTTACGCACTTGTTTTACCTGTATGAGTCCTGGTGTGGGTCTTCAGGTGGTCAGAGCGGGAGAACTTTCGCTGACAAGTTTTACACTGGAATGGTTTCACACCTAAACGGACAGAGAAGGTCTAGCCTCGGCCCTAACAATGCGGGGCACGGGATGGCCCCTAAGGCTGGCTTCCAGCAGCTGGAGGGGCCCGGCATGTCCAGCCACACTTACAATGTCCGTCTTGCCCTCAGATTTCCCCCAAAGCCCCAGGCCCAGCAGGAACCACCTGATTCACCCTCAAGGACCTCCTTCTGTCTTGGAAATGACCATTCCTTATCCACAAACATCCAGCTTCACACCAGCTGGCAGGCCTCAGCTGTGTCGGAGACTGAAAAAGTGAATCACAGGCTGCTAACTGGATTGTGCGCCCCACCGCTGCGTCCTTGACTGATGCCCGGTGCATCATCAGCCCAGTGCTAGCAGGAGCTCCGTGTGCTGTGGTCAGTGGGGGGAGCGCTGTGGGATGCTTCCTTTCCCTTCCTTTCTCTTTTAAGAGAAGGAAAATCCCCGGAGATGAGACAGAAAGCTATAGGAGAAACCACACACTCCGCTGACCCGCTCCTCCTCCACGGTCAACAGCAGAGAGAATCGCAGTCAACCCTCACCCCAGGGAACCTGACTGCCAGCGACGAGAAGCGAGCCCACAAACCTGTGTGTCTCCTTTGATGTCTTTTGAGCTGGTCTGAACGAGAAAACCTTCGCTCACAGTCCTTGAAGTCACACTGGTATGGCTTCTCACCTTGGGGAAGACACACACTCTATTGGAAAATGATCCTGCAGACGGGAATCTCATAAAGGCAACCTCTCCTTCTCGGCCTGAAGGATGCCCAAACACCCAAGGCACTTCGGCGGGGCCTGTGAGAGTAGTGGCACCGACTGTGCCTGCACCTGCGCTCAAGGGCAGTGGAAGCAGAGTGGGAGGCCACACGGAAGAGGATGGCACCAGACCAGCTCAGCCATCTGAAATGCTGGGAGGCAGGCAGCTTGCTCACTGAAATGGGCCAATGATCTGACAACATCGAGGGACTTAGGAACAGAATAACCCTCACCATCCCTGCCAAAGGCTCAGCCTGGCGCCCAGCACAGAGGCAGTACTCAAAGAATATTGGCAGAGAACATTTGGACAACTAAAAGCTAAGGAAGTTTTAATGCCCAGGCTGAGGCTGAGGCACAATTCGGGGATGGACGTGCCTTGAGGCCGGCCCCATGAAACAAGTGTTCTAGGTCTGCGGCCCAAAGATGTGGTGTTCTCTGCTCCTAACTTCTCATCCTTGAGGCAAGCATAAATGACTTCACAGTCATGAGATACCCAAGTTAATCCAGCAGCCAAAGCACTGAGAGAGGTTTTGGTATGCCTTTATCCGGGAGAAGTCGGTAGTGGCGCTGCACAACCTCCAGTCTCCAAGGGGAGGAGCCCCACCCCCATCCTCATCAGAGAATGTCAGCCAGGGCCTGGGAAGAGAGCCCCAAGAGTACGTGCAGAAACCACAGGCCTCCCTCCGCCGGGGCATCAGTCTGAGCCACCAGCACTGTGGGATGGAGAGCCAGCCAGTTCGGATCGCTTGGTCCTTGCCTTTGCAGGGTGTCCCCCAGTTCCTCTGCCTCTGCCCTGCCCTGCCCTAGCTGTACCCCTGGACAGCAGACCCCACCATTCCCACAGTGGCCCTTGCCCTTGGCTCAGGTGAAACGCCCTTCACCCTGATCTCCACATTGCCAGCCCTCAAAGTCAACCGTAGGCCCTTCACAAATGCCGCTCCAGGTGCGAGGCCAGTCAGGAACTCGATGTTCACATTTAAACCCATTCTTCCCTCCTGACAGAATGCATCCCAGAGCATCTATGTGGCCCACTGTGTCCAAGTCTGTGTCTTCCCCAGGCTGGAAAACCCAGAAGGCAGGAGCCTTGCCTTCACTTTGTATTTTCATTGAGTCCAGCACCCTATGCTTTAGCTCTGCAGGGGACCTTCAGAAATTTCATGGAAAATGGAGACTATATATTTTTTTAATTTTTAAAAAAATTTTTTGACAGGCAGAGTTAGACAGTGAGAGAGAGAGAGAGACAGAGAGAAATGTCTTCCTTTCTTTGGTTCACCCCCCAAGTGGCTGCTACGGTTGGCATGCTGCGGCTGGCGAGCTGCGCCGATCCGTAGCCAGGAGCCAGGTGCTTCCTCCTGGTCTCCCATGCGGGTGCAGGGCCCAAGCACTTGGGCCATCCTCCACTGCCCTCCCGGGCCACAGCAGGGAGCTGGACTGGAAGAGGGACTAGAACCTGGGGTGCCAGCGCCGCAGGTGGAGGTTTAGCCTAGTGAGCCACAGCGCCAGCCCAGACTATCTTTAAGTCCATTTTCCATGAAGTTTTTGCAGTACCCCACCTGACTCGGAGAAGACAGCCCGCTTCCCTCAGTCTGATTGCTTTCCCCTGCCTTGCCTCCATCCAACCGTGCCAGCCTCTGATGGTGAACCTGGGCCCTCCCTCCTCTGGGAAATTTTTTTGAACGGCCCCAGTTCCAATCAATATCCTCTGGGCTTCTCAGCAGTTCCAGCCTCTGATTCAGCACCCAAACACATACTTTCCTAGACCCTTTCCATCCAGCTACATCTCAGCTCCTAAGCAGACTGGAAAAACTCTGAGCAGGGGAATTACGAGTTGGAGGTAAAAGGCAGGAGGTTTGATAACTTCTTCCACTCCATTCTATACTTCTCTTGTTTCACATGTGAGGATTAAATGAAGTAATACATGGAGGGACCCTGGCTCATAAAAAGTGCTAATTATACTGGTCTGTGTGGCTATAATAAATACATAGGAGAATGCCATACTCTTTGAATAAAGAGGCTGTAGGATTGTTAAATATCAATCTCTCTTCTTCAAGGAAGAGTTTATTAAAGGCTTCAGCAAGTCTGTTCGCTGCTATTATGCCATGTGAGTCATCCATTCTCTACGGAGTTGTGAATTCCTCTTTCACATTAAAAGTTTCCACAACCACACTGCCTTCCATATATTGCCCTGGCATCCCCCTGGTCCTAATTTTCACCCTCAATGGCTGTGGTCTACTGAGTGCAGACTTAGGATGATGCTAGAACTGCATCCTCCAGAAACGATGAATTAGCAAAGTCCAACGAGTCAAAGAGATGGGAACACAGCTCATTCTCTTCTCCTGCTTCCTAGCACCAAGGTTGGCAGTAGTAATCACACTGCAATAGTGATTGTAACGACGCTGGCCTTGGGTGGTAAAGAACAGCACCGGCTCCCCTGTAGGAAGGCCTGGCTTCACTCTGCCCCTGCAGGGCATCCCCAACCACACGCCCACTGGTGCCCAAGAGGCCGAGAGCTAACAGCTGTCACATGGTGTTCACATTTGAGGCGGCCAACATCAAGCAAGGCAGCTCTCTATTTCTCAGAGAAATCCAGTTTTCCTTGACCTATCACCAAAAAAAAAAAAATCATCATTTTGTTTTTCTTTAAGACTGATTAATGAAAATGAAGCTACAATCCGTCGTCCCTTTCCTGGCCAGCTGGTTATTAGTAACCAAAGCAACCAAGTTCTTCTTTGCCCCATCTCTTCCAAAGTGTGATGATATGATGATGACCTTACCCATCAATCTCTCAACACCCTCTGACTGCCATACTCCCAGACTGGTCCCTCTCTCTTCAGGGATGCTACCAGTATTCAAATAGGAACACAATTATGTATTCAGACCCGTTGACCCAGTGCTATTCTAGGTGCTTGATATCTACAAGTCCTTTAAAGCTACTTAACTTAATCCAGATATAACCATGGTATACAGCAGACATCCTCTGAATTTTACACATGAAACAAAGTTCAGAAGGAGGTCAAGTAACATGCTCAAGTTCTCACTACTTGGTGGTAAAGCCAGAAGTCAAACACAGGTCTCTGATTCTGTGGATTTCTCCTTCCACTGCTCTGTGCTATCTAGAGCCTGAAGAGAATACACTTGCTCATTGTAAACAATGGACAATCAGGACACAAAATGGGCCTATGGCCTTTTCCCATCACCTTGGCTAAACCTTTTGAACAGTGGTGACTTTCCATCCCAGAAGTCACATGTGTCCTCAGCGGCGTAGGTACCCAGAGCAGGAGTTAGGGAACCCTACCTATGGCTGGGTGGCAGACACTTACCAGTGTGCTTCCGGCTGTGCATCTGTAAGTGAGAAAGCTTAAAATATCTCTTATTGCAGCCCGGGTAAGCACACATGAAGGGGCGTTTCTCACTGGTCTCAGACGTCGACCGGACGAGAGTTGGAGCTACTCCAGGCACACGCCGCACATCCTGCAAGCAGAGTATAAGAGGAATGGAGGCCTTGAGCCACACGTGGACATCCATGTCCATCTGGTTGGTTATCACTAATCCAAGCAGTCAGTCCCAAGGGAAAGTGAGCACCAAAATATATTCTAAGAAGAAATGGCAGGTACGAGACCTAAAACCACTCCTCTCCACACCTCAGATGACCATGGCAGACATCACTAATGGATAACAGCTCAGGACATTTTAACACTGTCAAGGTGATCAGCCAAAATTGGTACTTGGAATGAGGACTACTTGGGATTGCTGACCCACAGCCTCTGGAAAAGGAAGAGCTCCTAATCTATCCTGTCTCAGCTTCTCTACTTGAGTCAGTGCGGCCTAGATACCCAAGGTTGTAAGTCTATCCATTCCCTCCCACTTGGAGACATGACCAACCACATGACCTTGAACCCAATCTGCAATGAGTAGGGAAGTTCTCTCTAGAGAAAAACAGGCTAACTGAATGAGCATCAAAGTGACCCTCATGCACAAGCAAATGAGAAGAAGGAGGCCCTGGAGTTAGGGTTCTCTCTGTGAAGGGGGAATGAACCCACTGGGAGCCCTTGGTGTAGCCTGTGCAGCCTTTAGCAGTGACCACAGAAAACAACTGCCTTCTGTGCACCTGCCATCTGTTGATGGCCTTTATCTGGCAGAAGTGCAGTGTGTGTATTGTCATTACTCCACGTAACGGAACTAGAGGAAACCAGAGCAGCAGGCTCCATTCTTGCTCTTGGGAGCAGGAAGTCACAGATGGGGACAGGGCAAGGGCTCCCCACGCAGGGACAGAAGTGCAAGTCAAGGGCGAAAGGCCCAGGGGCTGATGCCAGAGTAGATCCGTGATGGAGTTCTGCTTTGGCACCACTGCTGGGCTTAAGGGACTCCCTGCCCTGGGGCCCACGCTTTTGTTCTAAGTCCTGTCTCCCTTTGCTCCGCACCAACAAGTCAGTGTCTTTACTGAAGGAAAAAGTGCACTTGTGACAGACAGTATTGATGTCAGCCAGCCAGTGTCTTGGGCATGAAACTGAACGGTGAGCCCGCTGTCTGAGTGGCGTATTCTCGAAGAAAACGAGTCTGCAGTGCAACAACCCCTGTCGGTCTGCAGTTTATTCTAGACGCCAACAGTGGGTCTGACAAACTGGCCCGGTGGGCAGCCAGGCACAGGGGCGCGTTTTTCATTTCCTTCCATTCAAAAGGGGGCAGCAGTGCACATGGAAAGGGACACAACATCGAGCCCTGGATGTCAGCCCATGTCCTGAGGCAGGATTCCGATGGTATTTACCAGGGGAGGGATGGGATGAGGCTCTCTGAACCTGCAGCCAGTTTCCGTATTGCTCTAACCCTGGCCTTTATTTCTCACCATCAGAAGGCCCAGGCAAGGGTACACACGGTTTTGTCCTCGCCACACCTCTGGACAGGTTCATGAGAACTTCTCAGAGCTCCCTGCCCCACGTGTCACGTGTGGATCTGGCCCCCACAGGGCTTCCTTTAGGATACAGACTACTGCAGTCAAACCTCCCAGCATTCCTCACACTGCAGCCCTGGATTCACACTTCTAGGTCCCAGAGGCAAACCCTGAGGTCCTGACCGCCCCTGAGGGGCTCTGCAGGGCTATCCTCTGACACTTCCGCCTCCCTACTTCTCTCTCTTCCCCTGCCTTGGAGACAGCTCCCTCCCCCAAACTCGTCAAGCCTCTGTCTTCCCAAGGAGCAGAATAATACAGCACTTAAAACAGGGGCTCAGAAGTCCCAGCCTTGCAATTTTGCACAAGGCACAGGTCTTCCATGGGCTTCAGCTTCCCTGTCCATGAAAGCGACATGACAGTACCCACCACGGAAGGGCATACTGAGGATTAACTGCAGGAAGAAAGGCCGTGTGTGGCCATACAGGGAACCCTAACTGCATGTTGCTGGTGGAAAGCAGTCAGTCTGAAAAGGCTGCATACAGTGTGAGTACAACCACAGGGCATTCTGGGAAAGGATCACTGATTTGGGGGTGGAGAAGGCAGGAGATGACAGGTGAAGTTTAAGGCATCTTTAGTGTAATGAAGCAATTCTATGTGACACTACACTCTACAGGCTGAGTATCTCTGATCCAAAAATCCAAACTGAACTTTATGAGTGCCACCATGATGCTACAGGTGGAAAAAAAAAATGCTGCTCTGGACTTCATGTGTGAAAACTCTGGAATGCACAAAATCATTAAAAATGATTTTTAATTAAAATTCCACTCGGGCTATGTGCATATCAGATGTAAACGAAACCTAAGAGAATTTCATGTTTAGACTTAGGTCCCATTTCTAAAATATCTCATTATGTATATGTAAATACTATTCCAAAATCTATGTGGAAAAAAAAAACCCTATCTGAAATACTTCTGATCCCAGTCATTTCAGATAAAGGCTACTCAACCTGCAACATACACAGGGCATTGTGCATTTATCAAAACCCACAGAACCCACAGATGAACCCTAATGTAGTCTGTGGGCTTTTGTTAACAATACTCTATCTCTACCATCCCATCAGGATGCACCACACCAACACAGATATTCATAATAAAGGGAACCACGGAGGGGGCAGGAAGGAGGTAGGATACGGAAATAATCTGTGCAACTTTTTTTTTTTTTTTTGACAGGCAGAGTGGACAGTGAGAGAGAGAGACAGAGAGAAAGGTCTTCCTTTGCCGTTGGTTCACCCTCCAATGGCCGCCGCGGCCGGCGCGCTGCGGCCGGCGCACCGCACTGATCCCATGGCAGGAGCCAGGAGCCAGGTGCTTTTCCTGGTCTCCCATGGGGTGCAGGGCCCAAGCACCTGGGCCATCCTCCACTGCACTCCCTGGCCACAGCAGAGAGCTGGCCTGGAAGAGGGGCAACCGGGACAGAATCCGGCGCCCCGACCGGGACTAGAACCCGGTGTGCCGGCGCCGCTAGGCGGAGGATTAGCCTATTGAGCCGCGGCGCCGGCCCTGTGCAACTTTTTTGTGAATCTAAAATATACAGTCTGTTTTCTACAAAAGTCCCCATCTGAAACTTAGCATACTGCCTGACATGTAGGGAATGCCCAGCCATGTATGTGGTTCTGCCATTCAGACAGACTACGCCCCTGGGCATCTGAAATACAGACCAGCAGTCAGAGGCCCCGGTCATAAATTCAAGTCCAATTAGTCCAAATACATGAACTGTGCAGCCACCCTGGAGAAGGGGCATGAAGCAATAGAGGGGCAAGGAAAGGACGGCACTGTGCAGGACAGCAGCTCTGGCAGAGAGCAGGAAGTGTTTTATCTGACCAGCCCAGGGTAAGAGGATGGGCCACTGATGGCAAAGGAGCCTCTGGTTAAGAACAGCCTTGCCAGGACCAAATGGGCCATCAGCAAGGAATCCAAGGGCAGGTGAGCAGGGAAAGGGCAGAGACGCACGCACACTCACCTGGATGCCTCTGAAGACGCCATGGGTGTGTATTCTGTATTGGGCACCGCAGAGGATGGGGGTGGCGTGGTTGTCACTCTCATACCCTGTGCCATGGCTGCAAACACAAAGAAAGGATACCAAGGCTCAGGAGGTTCACAGCTGCTGTTTGGAACTGCTTACCTGCAGTCAGGAGCAAATGACTTTCTTAAGGCTCACTGGGAGAAAGTTTTGGCTTTTTTTTCCCTCTCCCAGGGGGTTGCTATGGAAGCAGGCTGCTCAACCCTCGCATCACCACCACCACGAAGACCTCCCTCAACCTCAGCTCAGGTTCTCGCAGGAGCACCTCCCCAGTCTATGCCTGGCTCAGACAGGCCAGCAAAAGCCATGATGGCACACTTTTATCCCCAGGAAGTTGTTTGCCATCTCCATGGCCGGGCTGACGGCTGTGAGTATCTCAGGAATGAGCAGAATGCCTCAAGTTTCCCATTAAGTGCTCGGCAGTTTTGTCAGCACCTCATGACTCAGTCTTTTGCCAGATAGCACCAAGAAAGTGATGATATTTTTAAGAAGAGATGTCACGTCCTCCGAAGTGGGGATGCCAAGTCTGCAGCCCCACTCTGCTGAACCTCACACAGGTCAGCCTTCCAGGTCAGCTTAGCTCTGTCGCCAACCTGGGCCATAGGTGGGCCCTGGATGATCTTCAGACCCACTTGTCTCCTTGGGGGAATTCAGACCAACCTTGAACTACCAGTGAGAGCTGAGGGAGGGGGAATGATGGAAAGAATCACTTGGTGGAAGGGGTGGACGGTCTTCCCTAAAAAGACTTTCTCTCCTTCCAGTCCAGGGGTGAAATCTGCTCCGTGGTCATTTTGCTTCCAAATGAGACAGAATGAGTACTCTCATCCGCACTGGCAGCACAGTAGAGCCACATTCTGAGTCACCACAGGGAACTCTTACAAAAAAAAACACAAAATGGTGCATCTGCTTTGGAGATGTCTGGCCATTTCTGAAAGGCTAGACATAAAGTTGCCATCTGACCCTGAAATCCCACTCTTAGGCTTATGCCCAAGAGAAATGAAAACAGATGTCCACAAACAAACAAACAAAAAAAAACCCACAACCTTGAGTACATTCTTCATTAGCAGCATTATTTATGAGTCAAAAGTGAAATCCACCCAAATGTCCATCAACTGGTGAACTGCCAAAGAAAATCCAGTGAATTCCTACAGTGGGATACTATTTGGCAATACAAAAGGAACGGAACAGAATGGAGTACTGATTGTGCTCCAACACAGATGAACCTTGAGGACAGCATACTAAGCCAAAGAAGCCAATCACAAAAGGCCACTTATTGTGTGGTTTCATTTATACGAAATTTCCAGAATACGCAAATCTACAGGGACAGAAAGAAGATTACTGGTTGGTTGCATAAGGCAAGGGAGTTGGAGGGACATGGAGATCAATCACTAAAAATATCCTTAAGTTGTGACGGTCTAACAACTCTGAATATACAATCATTCTACTGTACGCTCCACATGGGTTGACTAGCACATGAAATGTACAAAGTTGCTTCAAAAAAATCACCCCTTTCCATGGGGCCCAAGTATTACCTCCAGGTGAGATGAAGCAGCCACTAGGGCTGAGACCCTCTGTTCTCTGCCTCACTCTAGCAGTTCCAGGTCCCCAGAGCAGGAGAGGGGGAACATGGCAGGTCAGGCCTCTCTCAGTCTGATGCTGGGAAAGCCTGGGGCTGACTCAGCTCTCACTCACAGGGCAAAGAGTTCCTGGAAGGGAAGAGCATCTGCCAGGACACGGAGATGTCTATGCACCGTGGGCCCCAACAGCTGTGGGGGTTCACATTTACTTCTGGCTGCAAGCAGTTCAGGAAGACTTGCCTGTCTGCTTTCCCTGGTTTGGAGAGATGGGTGGCAGCTCTGCTCCCTCTAACCTACCACACCTTGTCTCTGTATCTTTTAACTGCTTTTGACATATCTAGGGGCAAAGGTCCTGAAGAGTTAACCCAGGATCACATATGGGGGAGAAACGCTAAGCTCAGAGAGGATCTGCCTTCTTGATCTTTAGAAGGGGCTTGCGGGGAGAAAAAGGCCATGTCTGCCTTCCTTACAGTATTACACAGACAGGCGGGAAGTGAGAGTTGATGGCAACAGCCACGTAGCGGCAGAAAGAGGACAGGACCAGAGTGGGGCTGCCAGAACATTCTGCCCCAAAGGCTGCGAAGTTAAGCTGCCTTTGCTTGGCTTCGTCTTCTGCGTGCAGCCAGAAGGTGACTCACACTTCGAGGGCTGACGGATTTCTAAGGAAACATTAGTAAAAATCTGAATTATTTTAAAGTTCTGCTATCAGAAGGGAAGACTATAAAATCTGCCTTGACAGTTAATCTCGGGGCGTTGACTGGCTTTCCAGAGGATGGGAAACAACGCGAACAGGGAGGGCCTCAAGACACTTCATGCAGTCGTGACACTCAAAGGGAACATGGATCCTCATGGCCAGAAGCAAGCCAACGAGATTGCACCTGCCATAAGATACGCCACTAGCAAAAAAAAAAAAAAAAAAACAACCGACCTAAATCAAAGATCTCTGTGAGTGAGATCCCAGCGGAAAGAACGGACCATCAAAGAAGGAGGTACCTCTCTCTGAAGGAAGGAGAGAACTTCCACTTTGACTATGGCCTTTGTCTAAATAAGCTCAGAGTTTGTGAACTCAAGAGGCTTCCACAGCCTTGGCAGCGGCAGCTCATGACAAGAGTCTCAAGTGATGACTGACGTCATAAATAAGAGTGCCAATTGTTAAATCAACAACAGGAACCACTATGCACCCACTCCCCATGTAGGATCTCTGTCCTTAATGGGTTGTACTGTGCGAATTAACGGTAAAACTAGTATTCAAACAGTACTGTATACATGGTTGAAATCTTTACTTAGTATATACTAAGTTGATTTTCTGTATATAAAGATAATTGAAAATGAATCTTAATGAAGAATGGGATAGGAGAGGGAGTGGGAGATGGGATGGTTTGTGGATGGGAGGGAGGTTATCGGGGGAAAAACCACTATAATCCCAAAGTTGTACTTTCAAAATTTATATTTATTAAATAAAAGTTTAAAAAAAAAGCTAAGCCACTAGATTCTTCTACCAGGTCCCTGAAGAAAGAAAACAGCCAACTCTTGTCTCCGTAAGCGAAGCACATCAAAGCAGTTCCACACTGTGCAAACCCTGCAGTGCAACACTCTTCCCAGTGTGGTCTGCCCAGAACACTACCTATAACTCTGGGGCTTTTAACATGGTAACGACTCTCTCCTAGGCAAAAAAAAAAAAAAAAAAAAAAAAAAAAGCAAGTCAGTGGGCTTGGAACCATGTACTGACAGAGGGAGAAGTAGTGTCGGAAGGTCATGTATCCCAAGCACCATTCAAAGCAGGATTCTATAGTTCATGCCCTGTGGTTGGACAACCAGTGACTCATGCCATGTGAGGAGAGTTTTAATTGTTAGGAAAGGCCGTTCCAGCCTGAGTTGAGATATGCCTCCTTGCACACTACTGTAAAGTGAGCATTGTAACTTTACAGCCATCTTGGAGTAACTATTCTGTCCGATGGTGAACTTGGCCTTGAGTCCACTATCCAGAGTCCTTGCTTCTGTCCCCTATACACAGTGACTGAAATAAGGCCTCTGACAGGATGGGAGAAGCAATCAGTAGCCTGAGCCTCCCCTTCATATCTTCAATTTCCTATACCAGATGTATCAGCTCCCTTCCCAACCTGGAACCACAGCCAGCAATCTGCAAATTCTGCCAACAAGGGCAGTGAGAGGGAAGCTATAAACCGGAATATTCTACCCTGATTCTTCAGTGTCTTCCCACAGGGCAACCAAGTAGAAGTGGGGATGTACCAGAAACTGGGTACTGGAAACATGCAAACCCTCCAAGGTTTGAGAGGATGCTATTCTTATGGATCCAAAATGGCCAGCACTGTAGAGAAAAATCTGCAAGTTGTTTTTTTTGTTTGTTTGTTTGTTTGTTTGTTTGACAGGCAGAGTGGACAGTGAGAGAGAGAGACAGAGAGAAAGGTCTTCCTTTGCCGTTGGTTCACCCTCCAATGGCTGCTGCGGCCGGTGCACCGCGCTGATCTGATGGCAGGAGCCAGGAGCCAGGTACTTTTCCTGGTCTCCCATGGGGTGCAGGGCCCAAGCACCTGGGCCATCCTCCACTGCACTCCCTGGCCACAGCAGAGAGCTGGCCTGGAAGAGGGGCAACCGGGACAGAATCCGGCGCCCCAACCGGGACTAGAATCCAGTGTGCCGGCGCCACAAGGCGGAGGATTAGCCTAGTGAGCCGTGGCGCCGGCCCAAAATCTGCAAGTTTTTAATCTATAGGAGTCAATGGTTTGCCTCTGAATTTGGTAGGCCCACTTCAGAATAGGTTTGTGTTGAAGTTCGAGACAGAAAGCTGTATTTGCTGCATCATCAGTTCAACTCTACTGGTTTTCTTTGAATGCTGTAACAGATTGCCATAAATTTGGTGACTCCTAAAACATCACAGATTTACTCGGATGATTCTGGAGATAAGAAGCCTCACCAGGCTCCAGGCAAGGTGTCAGCATACTGCTTTCTTCTGGAGGCTCCAACGGGAGAATTTCTTTCCTTGCCATTTTCAGTTTCTAGACCGCATCTGCATCCCCTGGTCCCTTCTTCACATCACTCCATCTTGCTTCTTTTGTCACCTCTCCTACTGTTCTGTCATCAAATGTTTCTCTGCCTTCCTATAAGAATATTTGTTATACTTAGGGTCCACCCACATAATTCAGGATAATCTCTCAATTAGCTTTTTAATTTTTATTTGAGAGAGAGTGAGAGTGAGAATGAGAGAGAGAGAGAGAATATCTTCCATCTGCTGATTCATTCCCCAAATAGCCACGGTGGCTGGGTTAGGGATGACACTGAAGCCAGGAGTCAGGAACTCAATCCAGGTCTCACACGGGTAGCAGGGACTCAATTATTTGAGTTATCACCTGCTGCCTCCAAGGGTCTATGTCATCAAGAAGATGGAGTCAGTTACCAGGTGCAGGTATTAACCCCAGATATTCCAGAAATGACCTGGGCA